AAGAGTGTTTCAGGAAAAAGGAGCAGCATTTTCACAGATAGAATCACACAAAGGCTGGATGTACTCAGGAGAGAACAGAGATATTTGGCATAGTAAAGACATAGGATGTATGGCAGATGAAGCTAGAGAGGACACTCAGAAAGAGTGAAGGCAATTTGGAAAGGCCCAACTGAGGATTTGGGTTAAAGGCCAAGGAAGGCAGAGTGTGCATGATGAGACCTGATTTGACCTGTTCACTTCTTTAGCTATTTTCATTTGGCTAATGAGTTCGTGTTCGGGCATCTGGTACCAAAGAATCTGAAGTCTTGTGGAAATAATTTTCAGCAATTAGAGCAGCATTTCTGTCCTGGGGGTTGATGAGGAGGGTCTCCTGAGGGCAAGCTAAGAGGGAGGGAGGGACAACCACCTGATTCCCTTGGGTGATGTTCCCTGTGGAAAGTGTCCTTCTCTACCTCTGGCCACTGTTTTTTGTTTTGTTTTGTTTTTAAGAGATTTTTTTTGCTACAGGTGTGTGTGCTTGCTGTAGAGACAGAGAAAGACAGAGACAAAGCAAGAATTCACCCCTCAGGTGGGTGACCATGCCACAGTCCCTTTCCTCCAGTCTCCTCTTGGGATTTTGGGCATACACGCACATGCACCTGATGTGATTTTCAAGCCGCTGGGTCCAGGACTTGAAATGTACAGTCAGCCGCATGAGACCCAATGCCTTAACCTCCACACTACCTGCTGGCCTGTGGCCATTTTTTTGATGTACCACTCAGACTGACTTTATTTAACAGTGAGAGTTGATAAATGAAGCTATTGCCTAACCATGAGTGGGATATGAAGAATATTTTAAATTAAAAGGCAGCATTCATAGAGGACCACATGTTTCCTCAAGTATTATCTAGCTTAATCCTCACAGGAACTCTTTATTTCCCTTCTTATATTACATATGAAGAAACTGGGACACAGGAGTTTAGTGAGATTAGTGACTTGTCAAGGGTCACTGGTGGTAAAACTGGTATTTGGACTCACATTGATCCAGCTGCAGTTTCAGCACCACTGCTGTTGCATCATTCTTTTCTACTGTGATGAATCGAGGCAGAGAAGACTGTGGTGGTGCTGCTGCAGTCACCACCACAGCCACCCCTGTCCAGGTTATCCTCATCGCTGGACACGGATACCCGGCCCTGCTCGGAAGGCTCATTTCCTTGTTCCCTCTTGGAGTGGGCTTGAAGAGTCATTGTAGTCTTCAGAGTGAAAAATCTCATGCCACTTACATAGCTCAGAAACCCACCGTACTGAGAAGTTTATCAGAGGCTGTTGTATTTCTTTGGGGAGAGAGTAGGTCGAGCTGTTCATGGGTAAAACATGGTGCACTGGACACACGTTAAGTGAGGATAGCCCAGCAAAAGGCCTCAGAGCCTCAGGGCAGACTGATGGGTACTGGGTATACCAAAGGAAAAATACCTCCTAGATGAGCAGGCAGGGAGGCCTTACCTTTCTCTGGCTAGAGCCTCCCTGAAACTCCAGCTTAGAGATCTTTAAAGTAATTCTTCCACACAGGGACATTCATGATGAGCTATGCTCCAGGACACACAGGTTCTCTGGAGCTTGGTCAGTGACAGGGGCTGGACTCTCAGGGATGTGGAATGGGACTAGGAGCAGCAGGAAGGCTCCCGATGGTCAGACCAGAGCAGTGTTGGGTTTGTAGTGGTGTGGCTTATGAGAGGGGAGGAAGGGAGGACCAGGCGAAGAGAAGGATGAGCAGACACAGTGGTCTAGGGCAGGCCCCTAATGGGATGTCATGCTCAGAGTATCTGTGTGAAAATTAAACATTAAACAGCTCCTTCTAGCACATGTGGGCACTGCCACGCATCTTGGTGCTGTGTAGTAGAAAGCCTCATGCATAGGCCTATGTACAGTCTGCTGTGTTGCCCTCATTGCTGGCTTTCTTCTCCTCTAGAGCTCATCTCCTGTCCTCGGTGCAAGAGAGTATATCTTACCAGAGATGTAACCGAACATATTTTCCTACAGTGCTTTTCTGCTGGGCAACCCAAGATGGCCAGGGTGAGTAAAGACAGGGAAAGAAACAGCTCAGCCTCTTCAGAAATTTCTAAGGCCCCTGTCCATAGTCTGTCTACACACCCATCACTCTGTCTGACTCACTACTCCATCAGTTTGCCTGATTATCATTCCATCCATTCATCCTCCCACCTAGAAGAAAATAAAAATGTTTTAAGTCGGTGAGAGCAAAATAGGGATTTTCTACCAAGTAAAGACTGCAGGCTGTCTTTTTTTTTTTTCTTTTTTTAATGTCAATGCTTTGAGCAGGTATATGTATCTTTAGGTGCATTAAGAATAACTTAATGTATCTAGGATTTTTCTCTTTTGTACAGTTCTTACTGAAAAACATCAGTACTGACTGGTCTGTAGTTCCTTTTCTCTCCCCTTGAGTGAAATCCACTCACACCCTGGATTAGTAGGACCATTTATTGCACCTGTATTTAATAGCTATCACCTTTCCCCCAAATTCCTTGAATTTCATATCATTTAATGACTGGTATTTCTTATGTTCCTTTCTTCACTAGAATACCTTTGGCACTGCATTTTATTTATTCATTAATTTACTTGCTCAGACCTGTGGCATACTGTGCTGGGTAGTAGGAAGACAGATATAGTTTAATTAGTAAAACTTCCGGTATCTATATCAGTTTGGTGTCCTGAATGACTCAAACACTTTTCCCAAATCTCCTCCTCTTCTCTTGATGTTTGACATCAGCCCTGGTAAGGTATTTATTGACCAAAAAGTGAACATTTGGACTAGGGGAGAACTAGTAATCTCAGGTCAGGCAGAAGCCAAGTGTAGTCTCAGGTCTGAGAGCTGATCTGTACCTGCTCTTTCCTGGCTGTATTTAATCATCTATCTGTGGAATCCCACATCTGGGCTCTCTCTTTACTAAAAGCACAGGTGAATTTTCAGTTTTCGCCAGTGCTTTCCCACTATTATAACATTTTCCTCTCTTGTCTGCCTTGTAAACCAAATCATTCAGTATCTAACTCAAATGGTAACTCTTTGTGAAAACGTTCTTGGCCACTCCTAGACTGCCTGGAAGCCTCCTCTTGCTTCCTTAGAACTTTTGCATTCTTTTGTCATAGCCTCACTGTTTATTGGGTACCACTCTGTCTAGGCTGTGCCTGCCTTGAGGACAGACCCTGGCTTATTCACTGGGGAATCCTCAGCTTCAGCATAGGACTTGTGTGAACAGTCCCCCAGGAAGCTACTGTTCTTTTAGTCCCAAAGGGTGCTGTCCTTCACAAGCTCCCACATGTCAGTCCCAGGCAGGCCTCCAGAGCAGGCTGGGCTAAAATAATGGAGGAACGGTCTGCAGGACCTCAGCCCCTAGAGCACTCTCCACAGGTAGAGGCAGGCCCCACTGTGGATTCGTCAGTAACCCCAGAACTCTTTGCTTCCAGAACTGCTCCGAGTGCAAGGAGAAGAGGGCAGCACACATCCTCTGCACCTACTGCAACCGCTGGCTGTGCAGCTCCTGTACAGAGGAGCACCGGCATGGCCCTACCCCTGGGGGCCCGCTCTTCCCCCGGGCCCAGAAAGGATCTCCAGGTACCATTCTCCCTCACTCCTCCAACTCTGATGCCCTTTAAAGCAGTGCTGGGGCCAGCCAGGTGGTGTGATAATTAAGGTGGGTAGATTCTACATGGCTGTTCGAGTCCCAGACTTGGCGGTTTGAAAAACAAGATGGGTACATGTGCGTGCATGCCCAGAAATATCCCGAGAGAAGAAGGCTTTGTAGAGGGGCCATCCCTCCTGAGAGATCCATTCTCACTTCTCTCTCACTGTCTGTGGTGAGCACATGTGCCTTGGAGCAAATGAAATAGATAGGTAGGTAGGTAGATAGACCGATCAATTATAGAAAAAAAGAAAGATAGATGATAGAAAGAAAGGTAGATAGATGGATAAGAAAGAAAGAAAAAAAAGAAAGAGAGGAAGGAAGGGGAAAAAAGTGCCAAACTCCAAAATCCCTGGAGAATAGCAGGCTTCTTTGCAGTGGAAAAAGGTAGAGGTGGTCTCAGAGTCTGCTTAAGGACGTCTCCTTCAGAATCTGAAAAGTAGCTCATTCTAGTCTTCCTCTGTTGGAGTTGGGGATGCGTGAGGGTGGTGAGATGTTACGGGGGGAATTATCATGGAAGCTAGCTGATTTCCCTCCTTTCACCTTAGAGTCATCATGCCTCACTTCTGCTTTGTTACTTGATTAACTTAACAGTTTGGATCAGGGCTTGTATATTTGTTCATCCTGTACCGTTTGTTTTATGTTTATTTTTCTTTTTTAACCACATTTTTAGAGCAAAATCAATTTATATATTTTAAGTAAATTCATCAGTTTCATGTAGATTTTTAATATTTTAATTAACACATACTAATTGTACATATTTATGGGGTAGAGTATGATTTTTCAGTACATGAATATAACATGTAATGATGAAATGAGGTAAATTGGCATATCTATCATTTTAAGCATTTGTCATTACTTTGGAGCACCATGCTTTATTTATTTGTTTATTTTATTATATGAGTTTTTTATTCAATTAAAACACTTTTTAAAAGAATTCTCATTTATTTAATTCCATTTGTTGTTATTATTTTTTAATTTAACCAGAGAGACAAAGAGAGAGAAAGGGAAAGCAAGAAAGCAAGTCACCAGGTCTGAGATTTGAACTATGGTTTGCCATGTGGAAATCTATTGCCTTTAACGACCATGCCACCCACAGCCACAAAAAGTATAAGATACTTAGGAATAAATCTAACCAAAGAAGTTAAAAACCTCCACAAGAAAAACTATGAGAAGCTAAAAAAAGAAATAGAAAATGACACAAAAAAGTGGAAGGACATCTTATGGTCCTGGATTTGAAGAATTAATATAATCAAAATGGCAATTCTACCCAAATTAATCTATATATTTAATGCAATGCCAATCAAATTTACCAGACACAGTCTTCACAGATCTAGAAAAGACAATCATAAAATTTGTCTGGAGTCATAAAAGACCCTGTATTGCTGGTCCCTCAATTTCTTTTTAAAATTAACAATACTTGTACATATTCATGTGGGTACATTGTGAACCTTTTTTTTTGAGAGAGGTTTTTTTGTTTTGTTTTGTTTTGTTTTACTATAGGGCGTGTGGGCTGGCAGAGAGACAGAAAGTAAGAAATCACCTCCGGGGGGGTTGATCACTCTGTCTAGGCTGTGCCTGCCTTGAGGACAGACCCTGGCTTATTCACTGGGGAATCCTCAGCTTCAGCATAGGACTTGTGTGAACAGTCCCCCAGGAAGCTACTGTTCTTTTAGTCCCAAAGGGTGCTGTCCTTCACAAGCTCCCACATGTCAGTCCCAGGCAGGCCTCCAGAGCAGGCTGGGCTAAAATAATGGAGGAACGGTCTGCAGGACCTCAGCCCCTAGAGCACTCTCCACAGGTAGAGGCAGGCCCCACTGTGGATTCGTCAGTAACCCCAGAACTCTTTGCTTCCAGAACTGCTCCGAGTGCAAGGAGAAGAGGGCAGCACACATCCTCTGCACCTACTGCAACCGCTGGCTGTGCAGCTCCTGTACAGAGGAGCACCGGCATGGCCCTACCCCTGGGGGCCCGCTCTTCCCCCGGGCCCAGAAAGGATCTCCAGGTACCATTCTCCCTCACTCCTCCAACTCTGATGCCCTTTAAAGCAGTGCTGGGGCCAGCCAGGTGGTGTGATAATTAAGGTGGGTAGATTCTACATGGCTGTTCGAGTCCCAGACTTGGCGGTTTGAAAAACAAGATGGGTACATGTGCGTGCATGCCCAGAAATATCCCGAGAGAAGAAGGCTTTGTAGAGGGGCCATCCCTCCTGAGAGATCCATTCTCACTTCTCTCTCACTGTCTGTGGTGAGCACATGTGCCTTGGAGCAAATGAAATAGATAGGTAGGTAGGTAGATAGACCGATCAATTATAGAAAAAAAGAAAGATAGATGATAGAAAGAAAGGTAGATAGATGGATAAGAAAGAAAGAAAAAAAAGAAAGAGAGGAAGGAAGGGGAAAAAAGTGCCAAACTCCAAAATCCCTGGAGAATAGCAGGCTTCTTTGCAGTGGAAAAAGGTAGAGGTGGTCTCAGAGTCTGCTTAAGGACGTCTCCTTCAGAATCTGAAAAGTAGCTCATTCTAGTCTTCCTCTGTTGGAGTTGGGGATGCGTGAGGGTGGTGAGATGTTACGGGGGGAATTATCATGGAAGCTAGCTGATTTCCCTCCTTTCACCTTAGAGTCATCATGCCTCACTTCTGCTTTGTTACTTGATTAACTTAACAGTTTGGATCAGGGCTTGTATATTTGTTCATCCTGTACCGTTTGTTTTATGTTTATTTTTCTTTTTTAACCACATTTTTAGAGCAAAATCAATTTATATATTTTAAGTAAATTCATCAGTTTCATGTAGATTTTTAATATTTTAATTAACACATACTAATTGTACATATTTATGGGGTAGAGTATGATTTTTCAGTACATGAATATAACATGTAATGATGAAATGAGGTAAATTGGCATATCTATCATTTTAAGCATTTGTCATTACTTTGGAGCACCATGCTTTATTTATTTGTTTATTTTATTATATGAGTTTTTTATTCAATTAAAACACTTTTTAAAAGAATTCTCATTTATTTAATTCCATTTGTTGTTATTATTTTTTAATTTAACCAGAGAGACAAAGAGAGAGAAAGGGAAAGCAAGAAAGCAAGTCACCAGGTCTGAGATTTGAACTATGGTTTGCCATGTGGAAATCTATTGCCTTTAACGACCATGCCACCCACAGCCACAAAAAGTATAAGATACTTAGGAATAAATCTAACCAAAGAAGTTAAAAACCTCCACAAGAAAAACTATGAGAAGCTAAAAAAAGAAATAGAAAATGACACAAAAAAGTGGAAGGACATCTTATGGTCCTGGATTTGAAGAATTAATATAATCAAAATGGCAATTCTACCCAAATTAATCTATATATTTAATGCAATGCCAATCAAATTTACCAGACACAGTCTTCACAGATCTAGAAAAGACAATCATAAAATTTGTCTGGAGTCATAAAAGACCCTGTATTGCTGGTCCCTCAATTTCTTTTTAAAATTAACAATACTTGTACATATTCATGTGGGTACATTGTGAACCTTTTTTTTTGAGAGAGGTTTTTTTGTTTTGTTTTGTTTTGTTTTACTATAGGGCGTGTGGGCTGGCAGAGAGACAGAAAGTAAGAAATCACCTCCGGGGGGGTTGATCACGTCACAATCCCCTCTCCTTCATTCTCCTCTCAGGATTTTGTGCACACACTCACATGTGTCCTGCCTGAGTTTGAAGCCACTGGGTCTGGGACTCGAACCTCAGCTGACTACATGGGAGTCCAGTGACATAACCATTACACCATCTGCTGGTTCCACAATATGAACTTCTAACAGATGAATATGATGTGTAATGATTAAATCAGGGTACTTAGTATGTCCGTCATCTCAACCATTTATCATTATTTTATTTTGGGAATATTAAAATCTCTTTTTTTAAAAGCTACTCCAAGATATACAGGGAGCTGTCTTTAACTATCTGTATCTATAATGCTGGACATTGTTCCTCTTATCTGTTTTTCACATCTGTTAATCAGCCACCCTCTATTCCCTTCCATTCCCCATCCTTTCCAGCCTCTAGCAGTAATTCTTCTTCTCTCCACTTCTGCAAGGTCTCTTCCCCCCCCCCCATTTCTACATACAGGGAAGAACTTGTGATGTATCTCTTTCTATACCCAGCTTATTTCATTTGATGTGATCTCTTCCAGATTCACTGATTTTAACCTCAAATGACAGAATTTTATCCTTTTTAATGGCCAAATAGTATTCCATTTTACACACACATGCGTACACACACATGCACACATGCACAAAGACCACATTATGAATGACAGCCTTGTTGAAAGTCTTTCCAAGGCCCTTGAGTTGTGCTTTACATTTGCCAGACCCACAGAAACCAGAGTTCATGATCCATATGATCCAGCCTAGAGCCTAACAAGTGTGGGTAGCTGGTTCTAGCCCCATAGTAATAGAATACTGATAATGCAGAGGTCTTTGTTAGTTCCGGAGGATTCCTTGTTCTTAAGATGATCCATGTACAATAACAGCAAGCACCTTCTTTGGCTTCTGGCAAGTGGTGGAATGCTAGGTTTGTTAGTGAGCTATTTCTGGACAGCTGGGCAAATCCAGCCAGGTTAAGCCTCAAGTCCTCCTCGTGCCCCTGGAACACCAACTGGATGGGATAGAGGTGTCTCCTGTCTACGCCGTCTTCTTCTAAGCTTTGTGTCTCTGCTGTGTTCATTAGGGTTGAGAGCTGCTCAGCAGAACTTACCTGAGAAGTCTGCCTGAGCAAGAGAAGCCCATTTTCTTCATCTTCTCTGGCAGGAGTCAATAGTGGTTCTGGGGACTTCGCCTTGTACTGTCCTCTGCACCCACAGGAAGTGCTCAAGCTGTTCTGCGAGACCTGTGACGTACTCACATGCCATAGCTGCCTCATGGTGGAACACAAAGAACACAGGTGGGGCCGGTGGGCTGCCTGAAGTGGACTGGGGACAGGGAGGCTCTGGACTCCTTATTTATGAGAGCCTGGGCTCCCAGGGCATCAAAATCCTCTCCCTGCTCAAGCCAACCTACAGCCCCTGGACCAAAGGTTTTCTTTGCTCCTGTTTTGGGCTTCTCTGGAAAAGGCCTAATGAGCCAATAGCTGGCAGTGTCTTTGACCCTCCTTAAATGTAATCACAGCTTTCATGGGCCTGGGTGAGACAACGTACTGTGGAGATTCCTGCTTTACTGGTTTGTTCAGAATAGGACTCAGCCCTCTACAGCTTTTTCTCTGGTTCCTCCCCTAGGTGCAGGCATGTTGAAGAAGTTTTGCAGAACCAGAGGATGCTTCTGGAAAGTGTGACTACACAGGTGGCACATAAGAAGTCCAGTTTACAGACATCTGCAAAGCAAATCGAGGACAGGTAGCACAGGGTAGTCCCTGCTTGGACTGGAGATGCTGTTTCGTCACTCCCTGGGTCCCAGCACCAGGCCACCAGATACAGTGCCCACGTAGAGGCTATGTGGTTAAGCAGATGTGGGCCTATGGAAGTCTCAGGGCCAGTGACTGAGGCCACACTAGGTTAGGATGATCAGATTGAGTCTGGGCCAGGCTATTAACTGGCCAGAAGTAGGTACTTGAAATAGGGCACCAAATAGATTTCTGGGGAAGCGATTGCTGTTACTATGAGGGGGTGGCAAGTCAGTGACAGTGTGCCCTTCATCACCCCTTTGGTATTTTTACGTAGGAAGAGGAATTAGTAGGTATGGAGAGTTCATCAGGCAGCAGTGCTGGTTGGGCAGTATATATGCATTATTTCATCCAGTTCCTTAAATACTTACAGGCAGGGATTGCCTCCCTTTTACTCAGAAGGAAACTGAAGTTCAGAGAGGGTCTGTGATTTATATGGGTCATAGCTAGTCAGTGGCTGAGCTGGGTTTGAAAGCTAGGTCTCTGGTGACTTCAAAATTCATGATCTAGGGCTAGCATGTAGCATAGGGACTAAGGGAGCCAGATCCCAGGTGGCCAATTGCTATTTGAATCTTGGCCACGGCAGCTGAAAAACACAGGAGACACTTATACATGCATGCCCAGGATCTCCAAAGGATGGAGAAAAGGGGGAGAAAGGATTATGGCATGACCACACTCCATTTGGGGTGCTTTCTTCCTCTCCCCCTACTGTCTCTCTGGCAAATATACACACCTTCTGGCAATTAAAAAAAAAAAACCCATACAATTGTATAATTTCCATTTAAAATGATAATTGAGTGGTTTTTGGCATATTCACTTAATTGTACAATTGTATGTAATTACTGCCCCCTTTTAGAACATTTTATTACCCCTAAAAGCAACCCCAGGTAAATAACTAGTCACTCCCATCCCCCCTAGAAACTCAGAAACCACCAGTATACTTTCCATCTCTGCCCTTGTTCTTTTCACCTCATCATACTGTTTATTGGAGCATCCTTCTTTGGAAACTGACAATTACAAGAAATCATACCCATACTTGCTGGTGAGCTGCTGGGTGGCCAGGTGTGGACAAACCAAGTTGAACTTTGGGTCATTGGCCCACTTAAATCAAGTGGGCTGGGTTGTATAAAGTGATGGGATGGCAAAGGAAGGTTCCCTGTTTTTTATTTTTGATTTGTGCAGCCTCCAAGTTGTTGGTTCTTAGTCTGTTGTCTCTTGGCCCTCACAGGCCATGAGGAAGTACTCACTGTGGTTCATCTTATTGTGTTTACAGGATTTTTGAAGTGAAGCATCAGCACAGGAAGGTGGAAAACCAAATCAAAATGGCCAAAATGGTTCTGATGAATGAACTGAACAAACAGGCCAACGGGCTCATAGAGGAGCTGGAGGTATATGTGGGCAAATGGATCAGATGGATGAGTTCTGTGATCTCACTGGGTCCAAACCAAGCACGTTTCAAACTAATCTCAGACCTGGGCTAGAATTTGCTATGCAGCTTCCATAGCTCTTTGCTGCTCCTGTATCTTAAAAGATTCAGCCTAATTTGGGGATAGTGGCCCTAAAGGACTGGAAAATCAGTTCAGACTCCCATCAGTGCTGTGACTCTTTGGCAGCTGCCAACCTTGACTGTGCAGGGTTGTGGTCTTGGTAGAGAGAGTCACACAACAGCTCACCTATATTATACCCAAGAGATACATTCATTTATTCATTCATTCATTCTTTCATTTTCTCATTCATTTCCCACTTATTCCACGTTTGCATTATGTCATCTCCTACCAGCTCTTCTTTCCTCCCTTGGTCTCCCAGCAGCCCGTGGCAGCAAGTTCTATCCTGCTGTCCTCCTCTCAAGGGGTTAGTCTCATCTGATTCCATCGGGGTTCATGCTGATACACGTAGGCTACCACTTCTCAAGCATGTGGGCTGCTGAGAACAGGATCAGGGACTCTGTCTTCTCTCTCCATACCCAGGGCATTACTAATGAGAGAAAGCGGAAGCTGGAGCAGCAGTTACAGAGCATCATGGTTCTCAACCGTCAGTTTGAGCATGTGCAGAATTTCATCAATTGGGCTGTCTGCAGCAAAACCAGTGTCCCTTTCCTTTTCAGCAAAGAGCTGGTAAGAGGAACCTCCACCACCTCTGTCACAGGGGTGGTGAGGCTGTCCTTGGAAGTGTCCCTACCCCTTTTTCAGGTTGGGAGGAGGAGTAACATAGCAGCACCACCAATCCTTCAAATTTTAGTCACTGCTTTTGGGTTAGTAAGTGAACACCTAAAATCCACAGTACAAAGGATGAGAGACCGAAATGGTACTGTCTTCTCCCAGGTAACTCGGCTGGGCAAGACTGTAGCTATTTGTGTTAGGTCATGAATTCAGATATTATTCTAGAAATGTACAGTGCCCTGGACATCCCATAGAAAGTTACTCAGGTCTAAATAGAGGGCTAAGAGGAAAGGAGGAGTTGAAGATGATGGTGAAGTGTTGGTTGGAAGATGAGATGCCCAGGAAAGGGAGCAAGAATTCTGAGAGAGGTTGATGGAGTTTCTATTTGGATGTGTTGACTCTAAGATGTCTATAGAGCACCCCAAAGGCAACATCCAAAAAGCTCTTTTGATAGGTGGGTCCGGATGCCAGAAGAAATTTGGATTGGGACTGGAGATGTGGGAGTCACTGGGTTATCAGTGTTATCACCTTGGGAGAGCGTGGAGGAAGAAGAGAACAAATCTGGAACCAGGAAATACCATCATTTTCAACACAGGAAGAGGATGAGTGGAGAGTAACAGAGGTTAGAGGAGAAATAGGAGAGTGTGGTACACATAAATGAACAGGATTTCAGTTTTCTTAAAAGGTCTTTGCCATAGGGTGCATGCTCTTGCCAAAGAGAGACAAAGAGGGAGAAAATGAGGAATCACCTCCATCCCCCAGGGGGATGGCCATGCCGCAGTCCCTCCTACCATGGTCAGCCATGTGAGAATCCAGTGCCTTAACCACTGTGCCACCTGCTGGCTCCCCAACAGAGTTTCAAATTTTAAGTGATCAATGTTGTCCATGCTACATAGGTAAAAGTAGATGATCAGTGAAGAGAAACCTTGAGATCTGAGAATTAGGAACTGTCTGGTGATCTTTTGAAGAAAGTTCCAGCAAAGTAGAAAAATCAAAAGCTGGAATAAGGACTGAAGGTGGAAGCTGAGGAAGTAGAGACAGAAATGAAAAAAAGGAAAGGGTCCAGTCAGTGTCACGGTAGTCAAGGTGACTTGGATCCTACGTGACGGACTACACAATTGAAATCCCAACCTGGTGACTTGTAAAATGTGCCACGCATGTGTACATGCATGCCCAAAGTCCTGAAAGGAGAGAGAGATAGAGGAGAGTGGATTACAGCATGTCCATTCTTCATGGTGGGGTGCTTCTTCACTTTCTGTCTCTCTGTCTGTCCCACACGTTACCTGTGGCTAATTAAAACAAAACAAAACAAAACAAAACAAGACAGGAGGGACCAGCAGGTGGCGTAGTGGTTAAGGCACTGGACACACCCACATAACTGACTGCATTTTGAGTCCTGGACCTGTTGGCTTGCTTTCTCACTTTCCCTCTCTTCCTGTGTCTCTCTCTGGTCAAATTAAAATAAATGAATGAATACATAAAATTTAAATGAATAGTTGTTTTTAAAAAAAGATAGGAAATATGAAAACTGGCTTGAGAAGGAGGCAGAGTTGGGGGAAACTATTTTTTTAACACTTGGAAGACATTTGTACACATTTATATGGGAGAAGAAGTTGAAGGTAGTGAGGAGAGGTGTGTGATGGAGTGAGTATACCTAGAAGACAGGAAGAGGTGGGCTCTACTGTGAGCTGACTGGCTTCAAACACAAGGACACTCCCTTCTCCTGAGGTGGGAGGGCAGGAAGGGGGAGTATAGAACAGTTAAGTTTGTAGGTAGGAGGGATACAAGTTTGGGAGAGTTTGTCCTTTATGGTCTCTTTTCTTTTGAGAAGTAGAAGGTGATTATGAGGGTTAGGCATTGAGTAAGTGACATTGAAACAAAGGTTTTAAATAGTCATTGAGGGTGGAGGAAGCGGAAGATGACAAGAAAAAGGGCTGAATGGTGCTTTTATAATTAACACTCACTGAAGCGGCCCTAGATAAAATGGCTTTGGTATGGCTGGATTAACCTATGGGTGGGAACTTGCAATGGGCAAGGAATTAGGGCACTGGTGACGTTGTTACTGTAAATGATAGGGAGCTGGGAAACCCTGTGTATGGGCTGAAGGAACACAGCTTGGAGAGTTCATTGAGGTTGAAGAATATGCACTAAAGAGTGAGTGTTAGGGGGAACCAGCAGTTAGCGTAATGGCTATGTCGCTGGACTCCCACGTAGTCGACCGCGGTTCGTGTCCCGGACCAGCTGGGAAACCCTGTGTATGGGCTGAAGGAACACAGCTTGGAGAGTTCATTGAGGTTGAAGAATATGCACTAAAGAGTGAGTGTTAGGATCAGGGAGGGATTATTGATGTTTAAGTTCTCTTCTGCAGAATAGTTTTAGATAAATAGGGTCTAAGTATAGCAACTGAATTGGAAATAGAGGTGAAGGCAATTGGCATTAAAGAGGTGGAGAAAGTAAGAGGCCAAGATGTGGACTGAGATAGTAGTTAACTAGATGAGTGTGGGTAAGTTGGACATTTGCCAAAGTGCTAGGTAAATGGGAGGGTGGTGATGGGAAATATGGAGAGGAAGAGGCCAATGGAGTGGGCTCAGAGGCGTTTTATGGGCAGGTGGAAGGAACTTGGAGAATGCCTGTGCAGACTCCTAGCTGGGGTCATGTAGAATGAGTGGAGTCTGAGGCAAGTAATGTCCTGAGGGAGAATTGCAAATCACTTGAGGCCAGGAAAAGATAAGAATGTAAGGGTTCCAGAAGCCTTGATAAGAGGAAGGGGATTAGCTGGGAGGGTGGGAAGGTACTAAGGTGCAAGGAAATACGAATATGGGGGGTGACCAGAGGCTAAAGAGTAAGGGAGAAGGAGTGCCATTCAGTGCAAGATGCCCACACGTGAACCTCTGGTGTTGTTGTCAGATTGTGTTTCAGATGCAGCGATTGCTGGAGACAAGTTGTAACACAGATCCTGGCTCCCCTTGGAGCATCAGATTCACCTGGGAGCCCAACTTCTGGACCAAGCAGCTGGCTTCCCTTGGTGAGCCAGGGCCCACCCTATAGGCTTTGACCTAATTGCTAAGAGTGATTAGAAAGAAAAAACTCCCCCAAAAAAAAAAAAAAAAAGAGTGAGTGTTAGGATCAGGGAGGGATTATTGATGTTTAAGTTCTCTTCTGCAGAATAGTTTTAGATAAATAGGGTCTAAGTATAGCAACTGAATTGGAAATAGAGGTGAAGGCAATTGGCATTAAAGAGGTGGAGAAAGTAAGAGGCCAAGATGTGGACTGAGATAGTAGTTAACTAGATGAGTGTGGGTAAGTTGGACATTTGCCAAAGTGCTAGGTAAATGGGAGGGTGGTGATGGGAAATATGGAGAGGAAGAGGCCAATGGAGTGGGCTCAGAGGCGTTTTATGGGCAGGTGGAAGGAACTTGGAGAATGCCTGTGCAGACTCCTAGCTGGGGTCATGTAGAATGAGTGGAGTCTGAGGCAAGTAATGTCCTGAGGGAGAATTGCAAATCACTTGAGGCCAGGAAAAGATAAGAATGTAAGGGTTCCAGAAGCCTTGATAAGAGGAAGGGGATTAGCTGGGAGGGTGGGAAGGTACTAAGGTGCAAGGAAATACGAATATGGGGGGTGACCAGAGGCTAAAGAGTAAGGGAGAAGGAGTTGCCATTCAGTGCAAGATGCCCACACGTGACCTCTGGTGTTGTTGTCAGATTGTGTTTCAGATGCAGCGATTGCTGGAGACAAGTTGTAACACAGATCCTGGCTCCCCTTGGAGCATCAGATTCACCTGGGAGCCCAACTTCTGGACCAAGCAGCTGGCTTCCCTTGGTGAGCCAGGGCCCACCCTATAGGCTTTGACCTAATTGCTAAGAGTGATTATAGACCATCTACTTAGCTCACTGGGTAGGTCAGCATGTGCCTAAGAGAAAGCACTCCCTGAGGCTGCCAGTGGTTGTGAAGTCATTCAACAAACCATTTTTAGGAGAGAGGAGGATGGGGAGGTTAAATCACAATGACGTTATAGGACTTTGTGACAGACTGGTTAAAATGGGCTGAACTTTCCATTCTGCATGAATGTTCCCGTTACTTGATATTGCTGGAGAGGGGACAAGACAGTGACCCTGCCCTCCAGAGTACTGCCTGGCGCAACGCAGGTGAACATGTCTCTTTGGTTACACGAGGGTATATACGTGTGGGCAGGGGCATCTTAGCAACAGTGAGACTGTGTGTGTGTGTCTGTGTTACACACACATCCTTTGGAATTGAGATGCAATAGACAGTTTATGACCTTGTGCATTTTTCTTCCCTGCTGCAATAATTTGCTGGCATTCAGTCTTTAGACTGACTGTAGAGAATTTGAAGTTTTGTCTGTGTTGACAGCCTAATAAATTTGTTAAATTTACAGCCGACTGCTACCCTTATTTGAGATTGTTTATGTCACTGAAAGTTTTTGAATTTGGCAAAGTGCTAAATGATATTTAGTTTTATTTTTGGTTCCTTCTCCCCTTTGATTTAATTGAGCAGATCTTTGGTAGGCACTGCCATGCTGGGCAATAGTGGACCAAAGGTGAACAAAACACATCTTTTGCCTGAAGGAGCTCAGTCTTCTCCTGAGTAAGCCTCACCAAATCGATGAGTAATGGAGCCCTGAGACTGAGAGAGACACTGCGGTCAGCACAAGGGGCTCCGAGACTACAGAGGGCAGTGTAGGTGTGTAGGTGTCTGACTGCCCTGGGAGTGGAGGTCACTTCATCACCTTCTACTCTACTTGTGCCCAACATGCATATACCTGAGGTCTGTATCTGGAGACTTGCTCATTTGTCCCAGGATGACAAATGAGTAAAATTCACTACTTCCCAGCATACTTTGTACCGACCTCATTGACTCTTTTTGTAAGAGTCAACTGGGCTGTTCCTTTGAACACAAAATGAGTGTTATTTGAGGGATCCCCTGGTTTTCCTAGTGGGATAAAAACAGTCAGGGCTGAGCACGTGACAAAAGCTGAGCTCAACTCCCAGGTCCCCCGAGCAGGTGCTTGCAGGTGTTATTATGGTGGCATTCTAGACCGTCTTGATGATCAGGGGTTGAATGTCTTAATCTCTGCTCCTGGTATAGGTTTGTTGAATGATGTCCTTTGTTTCCAACAGCAGGAAGGATCAAGTGGGGAGCAATTGCAGATTACCTTTAAAAAAACTCTCTATTCTGAATTTCTAGGCTGCATAACTACTGAAGGTGGACAATTGTCTCGGACAGATGCTCCTGCTTATGGAGGCCTACAGGGACCCTCATCCTTTTACCAAAGCCACCAGTCTTCAGTGGCCCAGCCAGAGGCTCTTAGCCACCCTGCACACAAGTTCCAGTCTCCAGCACTGTGCTCCTCATCTGTATGCTGTTCCCACTGTGCCCCAGTCTCACCCTCCCTCAAGGGCCAGGTCCCCCCACCCAGCATCCACCCAGCCCATAGCTTTAGGCAGCCCTCCGAGGTGGCACCCCAACAGCTGGGGTCGCTGCAGTGCCCCACCCTGCTGCCTCGGGAGAAGGAGCTGGCCTGCAGTCCTCGCCCACCAAAGCTGCTGCAGCCCTGGCTGGAGACCCAGCCCTCTGTGGAACAGGAGAGTGCTCCGCAGAGGTTGGCGCAGCAACTGACTTCCCAGCCTGTGTGCATCGTCCCCCCTCAGGATGTCCAGCCAGGAGCCCATGCCCAGCCTACCTTACAGACACCCTCTATCCAGGTCCAGTTTGGCCATCACCAGAAACTGAAGCTCAGTCACTTTCAGCAGCAGCCACAGCAGCAGCTGCCACCTCCGCCACCTCCACCACCTCCACCCCCACAGCAGCCACCCCCACCCCTACCTCCATCCCAGAACCTGACTTCAAGTCAGCACGAGAGCCCTCCTGGGCCTGCCTGTTCACAGAATGTGGACATAATGCACCACAAGTTTGAACTGGAGGAAATGCAGAAGGACTTGGAGCTGCTCCTTCAGGCTCAGCAGCCCAGCCTGCAGCTGAGTCAGACCAAGTCTCCTCAGCATCTTCAGCAGACCATTGTGGGGCAGATCAACTACATCGTGAGGCAGCCCGCGCCCGTGCAGTCCCAGAGCCAGGAGGACACCCTGCAGGTGAGCCTTGGGGGATCGGGCACATATACCCCCCTCTTCCCTACTTGGATTGCTCAGGAACACAACCTCCCCAGTCACAGAGTGGCACAGAAATCCAATTTCTTCACCCGAGAGTGGCCTTGAACTCAGCTCTCATATTTCAGAACTGCCCTGGGCTCCACCTTCTACCTCAGGAAAGCTCCAGAGAACACAGTACCTAGTCCCAATATAATCTGGGCTCAGAACGCTCCAGAGTGGCCTGCCTGATTTAGCCCTTCTGGGTGACACTAGGGACATTGGCCAGAGATAGTATCATCTGAGCTGTGCTGGGCTCCTGCCGATGCCAGGACAGAGGAAGGCTGTCTCTTATCTTTGTAACCTCCCAACTCCCTTGCTGGAACTTACAAATTCCAGACTGGGGAGGAGAGAGCTTGAGGAGTAGAGTGACCATCTGTTTTAGATGCTGAGGGCAGCCCTGTTATACTCTGCACAGACACGGACTTCAGCTTTATGCCAGGTCTGCTAGGCTAGGTGTATTTTATGTGCACTTCGGCATTTATCCTATCAGTAGAGCTGTTCGTCGGCATTGCCATCTGTATTTTGAAGGTGCAGAAGTGGGAACAAGAGAGGGCAGGCAGTTTGCCTAGAGGTCACACAGCGTTGAGAGTTAGAGCCAGAACTTGACCCTGGTCTGTTGACTTTTCTGTAATGCCACAAAAGAGGCCTTGTTTTCTCCTAAGGGGAATATTAAAAGCTGTTTTTTTTTTCTCAGCTAAAAGTCAATTGAGAAGGAAGGTGTGGTTTGTACCTTGGATCTTTACTGTATTCCACATCTTCATTCTTAGCTCCTGCTTTTCTTTTTTTCTGGAACCTCTTGTTCCAGACTCTTCTGTCTACCCCTTCTCACTTATTCTATAGTGTTGTCTCCTTTAACTCTGTAACTACATGTATATCTTCAAAGCAGCTCTACAGACTTGCTTTATTACAAAACGTGAGGCCTCTCATTTCTGCTTTAGCACTCACAACTTCAGCTCACACTTCACATGTCTTCCCTCGAGTCTCAGTTCCTTCGAGGGCACATGACATAGTCCCTGTGATGGTAGAGAAGGATCTAGGGGTCATAAAGGACTTCAAACTAAATGTCTGTTCTGATTGCTAAAGTGAATGTGACCAAGTTAGCTCAGAATTCTCAGCGTGAGTCCTATCCTAGGACTTTCATATTATGATGTAGTCTCAGAGTTTAGATAGTAGTATTTTTCTTTTAGATAAAAGAAATTGTGTGTGTGTGTGTGTGTGTGTGTGTGTGTGTGTGTGTGTGGTGTTTAGAAAGGATCTTGCTATGTCACAATCCTCTCACCTCAGCCCTGAGTACCCGGGACCACAGGCGCACACCACCACGCCTGACCCATGCCAGCTGTGAGATAGCAATACTCCTGCCTTAGCCTCCTGACTGGCATGACTGGCCTTTTAGGGTGGGCTGGGAATCAAACCTGGGTATCCCTTGTGGCCTCAGCCTCCAAGCAAGAGCATTCAGTGCCTGCTACCATGGCCAGGCTTGGAAAAATTTTAAACAGTTCCCAATGTGTAGGTGGTGACAACAGACAGGGCAGGGAAGGCACTAATTCTGACTGTTGCTTCAGTGAAACCCATCCGAGTTCTTATTTTCTTTCCCAGGCTACAGATGAGCCCCCTGCATCTGAGGGCACAAAGCCAGCTCTCTCTCTTGAGAAGAGTACTACTGCTGCCCTACCACAGGCATCTGGGGAAGAAGCCCCTCTGAGTGTCCCCCCAGTGGACAGCACCATCCAGCAGTCGTCTCCGAATGTGGTGAGAAAGGTACTAACGGAACCTGCTCTCCCTGACCATACTGGACCCACAACCAGCCAAGAGCCCAGGCACCCGGAGGAGGAGGATGGGGTTGGGGGAGAAGTGTCCCTGTTCCATCCCTGGATGCCACACAGCCCTGACTCTTGCCTTCTATCCTAATGATTCAGCAACACAGGCCCTCCTCCAACTGCACCTCTAATCCCAGGTACTTTTTTTTTTTTTTTTTTTAATGAGGCCTACTGGCTTCATTTAACCTGGAAGGGAAAAGGGAAACAAAGCCAGTTTATTGAACACTTACTCTGTATTTAAAATGGTGTGGGGGGTTTCGCAAGCATTATCTCACTTAACCATCCCATCAGCTGTGAGAGATGGGCATCTCCGGTGTATAGCCAAGGAAATTAAAGTCTGGTCCCTACAGCCAGAAGAAGAGAAAGCTGAGACTTATTTTGAAATGACTCTAAATTTAGGGAGCCAGCAGGTGGCATGGTGGTTAAAGGTGCTAGACTTCCACATGGCTGACCACGGTTCAAGTACCGGATCTAGTTGCTGGCTTGCTTTCTCATTTTCCCTCTCTCTCCAATCAAACTGGACAGTAATAATAATAAAAAAGTTAAATAAAATAATTCTTAAATAAATAAAATAAATGATTCTAAATTACAATAAAAAACCTGAACTTTTTCCCCTGTGCAATGAAAACAAGAATATTTTATGTGGCTCCCCTAACCCAAAGTTGCTTGACTTCGGGGTCTGAATCAATGGAATTTTGAAAGTGGGCCACTGTGAGGGGCAGAGGAAACAGGTGAGGGAGAGTGGGTGAGAGCAATAAGGGACGGTGATAATGGAAGAGGGGAGGAAGAAAGGAACTGAGAGCATGGCCAGTGACCTGAGAATTTTTGTGGGTGAGTGTCTGCAGGGGGGTCCTGTGGGGGAGGTAGCTAAGCATCTAGGGACACTGAGACCTTGTGAAAATGAGCTAGTGGAGGCCCTCCTGTCCATCTGCCAATCTGCTTGCTGGAAGTGTTCATTTACCCTCACTTCTGTCACCCTTCTAGCTTGAGCCTTAGCCCTGTGCAATGACCTTTCCCTGGGTCCTCTGACCCTATTCGACTTACTCTGTTGCCTTCTCTGGCTTGATGCCCTCAGTCTTTGTGGTTCCTCTGTCCAGCCCTGAACTTGAAGCTCTCTCATCAATTCCATACCCTCCCAGCCTGTTCTCTCAGCCCCACAACATCCCTCTGGCCCCACAGCCCCAGATCTGTTAGTTTCCCCGTATATCCACCTCTCACCAAGTTTTCCTGGTGACACAGAACCACACGTAAGTCTTAGATCAGTCAGTCTCATTGATACCTGAGAAGAGGAAGGATGAAAAGAAAGGGATGGCAAAAATGAAGTGTTAACTTGCAAATTCCTGGTGACTCTTAAAGTCTGGGCAAGCTTCATATTAGTGGCTTTTTGTCTGTGCCTGGCCCATCCTACCCTGTTGGAAGTGGTTTGGCCCAGAAGTCCTATACGTGCTGTAAATAAGCCCTTTGTGACTCTTAGGCATTTTACTTCTTATGCTTGGGCCAGCCCTATGTCCAGCCATCCATTTATTTGTTCATTTACTGTTAAAAAATGGATTAATCTCCTAGAATGTGCCTCATATTCTGCTAGACTCCAGGCACACATTGTGAATAAGATAGTTTTACACCAGAGCTTACAGTCTAGTGGGAGAGAGACAAGCAATAGCAGCAAATTGTGATGAAGGGTTGTGATAGTCATGGGGCGTAACCCAGTGGAACTTCTAACTCTGGGAGAGGGGGTTGTTGTTCCCAGAAGACTTCATAAAGGGCATTATTATTAATTTTTTAAAAAAATTGCCAGAAGTCATGTGTGCTTGCCAGAGAGAGACAGAGGGATAAAGAGAGAGAGAGAAAGAGAGAGAGAGAGAGAGAGAGGAAGCGTCCCCCAATAGGGCATGGTCATGTCACAATGCCTTCTTAATTTCTCTGTCCTGTCAGAATTTGGGGTATACATATATTCTTAAAGCATCTGGGGCCACAATGTGAACCACAAAGTCAGCCATATGGGTTCTGACTTCCTTAACCACCATGACACAGAGCTGGCCTAGGACGTCATTTTAAAATGACATTTGAAGGAGGAGAAGTTACTAGTGAAGGAGAGAAGGGTAGGATAAATAGTCAAAGGGAATGGCAACCAGGAAGGTCTAGAAGCGAGAGAGAACTTGAGCTGCCATGGGGCCTCAGATAATCTGGCTTGATAGGAACAAAAGATGCACTAGGGAATGGGAGAGATTGAAACCAGAGAGGTTGGAAGGCCTTGTAAATTATGCTTTGGAGTTGAGATTCAGTCTTGGGGACTGTGAGGAGTGAATGAATGATTTCCAGTAAGGAAGGACAGGAATTGAATTGAATTTGAAAGGTCGATTCATCTGTGGTAAGGGAGACCAGAATAGTACAGCCAAGAAATAGGCTGAAAGATCAGTAACTGAAAATAGAGGAAGCAGAGATTTCAGGAGATACCAGATCGCAGGAGTTTTGGATTCAGTGTCTGATTGACAATTGGAAGTGAGGCAACGTCCTTTGGCTTAACACCCAGGTCTGTCTCAACTCATTGGGATGGGAGCTTAGGAAAAAGAGCACATGTGGGGAGAGGAAGAAGTTAAGTTTTAAATTGTCAACATCTTCCAGTGGAAGACATATCAGAGGATGACTGGTGGCACAGCTCTGGATAGCAGTAGTTAAGAAGGGAGCTTGGGGATTGTCAGTGCTCACGTGGTCGTGGAAGTCATCACAAGTGCCACTGCTCATTTGATGAGGCTCAGTTCTGTTCCTGTACCAGTTCTGAGGAAAGAAGGTGAGCCACATATAAGTGTGGAGTCTGTCTGCCAGCTTACATAGCCACTGGGCTCTCTGAGCACCAAGGGGCTACTGCCCTTCTGTGTGGCTGTAGGTTGGCAATGGGGTTAGTGGAGGTCCTAAGAACTCCAATTTGATTTTGAGATATTCATGCTTTTAACTGAGGCTCATGCAAAGGTTTTTTGTTGTTGTTGTTTTTTGAGAGGTTTTTGCTATAGGGTGCGTGCGCTTGCCAGATACACAGAGAGAGACAGAGAGCGAGAAATCACCCCCAGGGGGATGGCCACGCCGCAATCCCTTCTCCTCCATTCTCCTCTCGGGATCTTGGGCATCCACGCACACGTGCCCGGTGTGAGTTTAAGCCACTGGGTCCGGGACTTGAACTGTGGTCGACTACATGGGAGTCCAGTGACATACCCATTACGCCAACTGCTGGTCCCTCATGCAAAGGTTTTGAGGGCAGATGATCTGGAATTTTTAATATGTTTTATAGGTTTTGTCCTGACTTTGACTCCTAGAAAAAATACCCTCGAGGTTGTCATCCTGGCCCAGAGGAAACTTTGGGTTGACAGAGAGAATGGTTATCCACAGAGCTGCTAAGATAAGAAAGAGGGCTTTCTTTTGGAGGAGATTCATTGTCTTAAAGCTGGGATTTGGTAGGGTGGGGAGCGTGAAGCTTGAGGATACCAAACATTTTGAACATCTTATTGTTGAATGGTACTACTCTGCATAGTATTTTTCTACTTTTTAAAGTAGCATTTTACATGAACTATTTAGTTTTATCTCTTTGTTTATCTTAGCAATACTATGAGGAAGCCACTTTCTTATTCTCCTTTGAAAGATGTGGAAACTGAGACACAGAGAGGTTAAGTGGCCCACCTAAAAGTTAAACAGCTGCCCATGGGCGATGTTAGGACCAGACAATAGGCTCCTGACTCAACCCTGTGTTTAGTCACTAGGTTAGATTCCTTCTCTTTGTGCACTGAACTGGGAGAAGTAAGTCTTCCTTGGCCTCTTAACCTGCTGGACTTTCCTGTCTTTGAAACCTTCGAAGTAGCTTGAGGCCTTTCTGAGGAGAGGTCTTGCCAGAAGGGCGTGTGTGCCTAGTTTGGTCTTAATTCTTTTTCTCTGGTGAAAGTGTTTTGGCCTCCAGTCCACACCTCATCCTGTGCTGGCCCTTGAGTGCCAGAGAAGTAGTAGTCTGTCTGGAGATCACATACCAGAGGAACCTGTGGCACCAGGTGCCTTTCTGTGTGTTTCTCATAGACTGTCACCACAAGGAGGACTTCCGCTGAAGCAGAGCATCTGTGCACAAGGACCTTGGAGTTAGAGCTGATGACGAAAACAGATTGCTGCTAGAAGTGAGATGTGAAAGTTCTAGAGTGGGATTTCAGTGGCCTGAGCTCTACAGTCTCGGGAGCAGCTTATCTTACCACCTGTCCTGTATCCAACAGGATATTTTTGAATGAATTTTGACATTTATCTGTTGCCTCAACTCCCTAATCTCAGTTCAGCTATTTTGAAGAAATACCGTGGTTACGATTCTACAACAGAACCCCCCTGTACATCCCAAGATGGAAGACATTTTGATGGTTTAAATTCATACTTCTGAATGAGTAGACTGCTGAAAAATATACTTGATCCTTTCCTGACATTCCTCATGGAGTCAAAGCTATTGGCTTCAGGGGAGCCTTATCTGAGCCACAGTTCACCTGCAAGAGGATCTCTCTTCTGCTGCTCATAATGTAGCCCTAGACCTTCACAGAGGACTTTGCTACTACAGGATGCTGCAAGTGTGGGACTTATTTTCAGTGAGTGGTACAGAGGCAGTAAGCATTCCAGTGACCCAGATGATTCAGAGCAATGCAGTAAAGGTTGACTCAGGTGGATGGCATTTGAACTATATCAAAGCACTTTGATGTCCAACCTTTTAATTTGATTCGTAAAAAGCTTAGTGAGCTTTCCATTAGCCTGTGGAGGATGAAAGTAAGGCCTAGATGTGGGAAATGACTTGCTTAAACTCATACTCTAAACCGTGGCATATGCGAGGAAATACTAGACATCTGTCTGTAGTCTCTAAATCCACTGCTATGGACCAGATCATGGAGCTTTAACCTGAGCGATGATCTTTTCCTCACAGCCTGGCCTTCA